TAGTGCAAGATGTTTTTCTGTCCAGCTATTTCCCCCACATTCACTGCTTCCAGTCTTCTTTTTTCCTTGCTTAATTTCTGGGAAAACACTGCCCGTTTACTGTTGTATGGAGTGTGTGCCTTCTTGTTGTTATTACTCACCTTATAGACCTATTTTCAAGTTTGAGTCACAAGGTCCAGCTCCAAGACTAGACATGATGTCTTGGTTAATACGGATTTTAGTCATGCATTAGGGGGGAAGTATCCTGCTTTCAGACATATTGATGCCTTTATAGGACCATCTCTGTTTAGCAAATTTAGCTTCTGTCTTTAATATGATGAATCTTCTATCTTCATACTGTATCTCTAAGACTTGCAGCATACAAAAGCTTATTCCTGATATCACTGGCTAGAATCCAGTGGGAATTCCTAGAAACAGAATTCCATTGCAGGCGTTTGCCCCTAGCTTTAGTCTGCCCTTTCCAATTTTAACCCGTAGTTGGAATCTATTCACAGGGAGGCTGAGGATGTTGTCTCAGAAGTTGGAATGTGTAAATTCTTACTATCTGTTTACTCTTAAATTACTCTGCTCCTTATTTGTCTTTCTTTAACGGCCTGTCAACCAAAATCTCCGTCCTTCCCCTCTGTGCTGGTGGCCTCAATTAGGTACACATCTGCGGAGGCTGGGACCGAAATACCCCACCATTAAGGCTCATCTGCCACGCCCAGGTGCCTGCTGGCATGACATCTCCAGGGAGAGCACTTCCACCCTGGTGTCACAGGAGAAGGAGGCTGCCACTGTCATTTCCCGCTCTGTCATCACAGGTTCTGCCCTGGAAGAGTGCCTACCTAGCCTCACATGGCACTCAATACGGGTAATGCCCATGTGTGCTGTTCCCTTGATGACTGAGCACTGGCAGTTGTTCAGTAAACAGGGAGGGAGGTGACACCATGTGCCAGCCCTGTCAGAGATGTGGAGAAGATGGGGCAGTTAGAGATAGTTATCTGCAGGAGGGGTGGGGAGGGGACTTAACCCAGCTTTGTTGATGCTTTTGAGTAGACCCCTCATTCTATGAAAGTTAGGTCACAGAGAGACAAATCCCTGCCTGGGATTTGGAGTGGAATTTGGCTCACCCTTGGTACAGTGAGGACTCTGCTTATCCTCCAAGGAGCTGGTCTGGCAGGGACAGGCAGCTCAGGCAGAAGTGCAGAGCAAGGGAAGGTATCCTGAGTCCTATTTTCCAGCACTTCTGCAGAGTGGCTGGTGGATTTGAACTGCATATCCTAGGGATTGGAGCACAAATTCTTACCACTAGGCCACCCGAAGGGAGCTCTAGTGGCCTAGTGGCAAGAAACTACTCTGCAATCCTGAAGGTACATGGTTCAAGGCCGCAAGCTGCTCTGCGGGAGGAAGATGGGTAATCTCCTTCTGTGTGATTTACTGCCTCTGAAAACCTGCAGGAGGGTCAGCTATGGGTTAGTTCTGACTCGATGGTACGTAGCAATAACAACAGGTTGACTTGAGAGTGACTGGACGAATATTCACTCAGATAACATGAGATATGGGCTCCTGGATGCCCCTGAACTCATTTACCCAGGTCGCTACTGCCCTCACTTCTCCTGTTAGGTACAGTCTATGAGCAGTTATTGCTGAAGACCCTGTCCCATGCTTTAGAGGGTCAGCAAAAACAAGGAAGTCTCAGTAAGATTTACACAAAGCCTGTAACAATAGGTTCAAATACAGCAGTGATGCCGTAGTGGTAAAGACAGCATGGTACTGGTACAATGACAGACACATAGATCAATGGAATCGAATTGAGAATCCAGAGATCAACCCATCTATCTATG